ACAGGTGCCCACCACAATGCCTGGCTATTTTTTGGTTGTAGCTGTCATTGTTGTTTGGCGGCCCGGGCTGGATTGGAACCCGCCAGCTCAAGTGTATGTGGCTGGCGCCTTAGCTGCTTGAGCCACAGGTGCCGAGCCAGGTTCTTTGACTTTTAGAGAACTCAAGTGATTAGTTTTTAACTCTTCTATTTACTCCAACTTCAAAGAAGAAAATGAAGCATATAAATGTCTAATGGAATTATGTCTAATGTATCAAAATAAGTAAAAATAAATATAAAGCAATGGTAATTAGAAGGCAGCTTATGTGTGTGTCTATAGGTAGTTATCCTTTAGTCATGAGAGCCAAGATAAGTTGTTTTGTTGACATTGAGCTTGTGCCACTGTGCCTATGAAGGTCTGATTCCCTTAGAAGGAAAGGCAGAGGAATGATAAGTTAGAGTGGGTATGATAGTAGGTGCCTGACTTTGTACCACACATGTCCCCTCAGCAAACTCTTAATCTTATTGGGATGACAAAGCCATAGTTTAAGGCTGGATGTAATCACAGCTAGTGTGATGCTTTGATTGTATTATCTCTGTACCTTACAAAAGCCCTATAAGGTGGGTGCTCTTATTTTTGTTTCATAGGTGAGGAAATCAAGACTCAGAGAAGAAGTAATATGTCAAGGTCGTAGAGAGCAAATGGTAGAGATGGGAATGAAATTCAACTTCAGATCTTTCTCACACCAGGGCCTGCCCTCTTTGCACTATGCCATATTGTTTCTCTAAGTACCAATAACATAGTTCCAAGTTGTTCAAGAGAGGATGAAGTAATTGGGATTTGAAGGATCAGGAAAGAATTCGGAGCTGAGCTGGACATTTAAAATGGGCACAATTTTGGCCAGGTGTGGTGGCATAGGCCTGTAATCCTAGCACTCTGGAGGCCAAGGAGTATGGATTGCTTGAGCTTACAAGTTTGAGATCAGCTTGAGGAAAAGCAAGGCCCTAGCTCTTTAAAAAAAAAAAAAAAAATACCCGGGCATTGTGGCCTGCACCTGTAGTCCCAGCTATTCAGGTGGCTGAGGCAAGAAGATTGCTTGAGCCCAAAAGTTTGAGGCTGCTGTGAGCTGTGACACCACGGCACTTTACTGAGGGCAACAAAGTAAAACTTTGTCTCCAAAAACTTAATTAATTAATTAAATACAATAAAATGGGCACAATTTTGAAAGATAGATAGTACTTGGGGCAGGAGATCAAAATCAGAGATGTTTGCATATCTTCTTTGGGTGATGCTGAGGAGAGTCCTCTAGCTGGAGAGGACTATAGAGAGGAAGGAGGTTGGGGCTGTTACTGTCCATTTTGACTTTTTTGTGCTCTTTCTGTAGGGAGGTCCTGGCCAGTGAAGCCATCCTTAATATTCCTGACAAGGCAGACTGGAGACAATGTCAGATGAGCAAGGAAGATGAAGAGACCTTGGCTCGCTGCTTCCGAAAAGACTTTGAGCCCTTTGACTTCACTCTGGATGACTGAGCAAAAGGAAAGACGCTTTTTGAACTTCACCGGAAGTTTTAGAAGTTTATTTTTAAAGAAACCACAGTCTCCAATGGGGACTGTTTCCCTATCTCTTTTTTAGGCATTCCCATGGAATTGCCTGCAATAAGAGGCCTAGAATTTTTTAGGAGGAAAAGTCCATTCTAAGATGAAAATCCTATGTTAAAAGCATGTCTTTTATCCAGCTGAAGCACAGCTTATATTTACCAACATTTTCAAAAATCTCTATCAAATAAAATCTGAATGCTTTCCATGGTTGAGAAATGTCTTATGTTCATGTTGTCTATGACTATTGAAATGAGATAGTATGTATAATAGGAAGGGCTAGAGGTTTAGGCTCAGCTATTATTCCAGAGTCACATAGGGTGGTTTTCTCCTTGAGCAACCCAGGGTAGAGAGGGGACCCAAGCCTTTGCTGTGTTCTTATATTTGTCATTTTATTCATAGTTAGAAGCCCATTCATTCTTTCAGATTTTTAACTCCTATGTTCCAGGAGTATAGCTACATCCCAAAATGATTCCTGTTGTCCTAAAGTTTATAGTCTAATTGGAAAGAGATAGACTAGATTTGAGAACAGAAAGTACGTTCTGCTTTGGATATGTTGTTTCAGGTGCTCGAGATAGCCAACATGTATCTGGTTTGCTGTTGGATAATTCTAAACTCATGAAGACCTGGGTTGGTGATAGGACTTTGGGAATCATCATAGGCCACAGGTGAAATTATGGGAATGGACGGAAATAAGAGAGGGCAAATATAGTCCTGAGCTAAAGAAGACCACCCGAGAGATAAATTTTAGTACTGTGTGGAAATAGAGTTATCCAACAAATACATGGAGAAAGAACATACACAGAGAGATCAGAAGAGAATCTGTATCTTAGAAGCCAAAAGAAAAATAATTGCTTTTATATTGGCCACTATTTCACATAATCTTAACGAATTCTCTAAAAGGTAGGTATTATTATCTCCATTTTGCACAAGAAAAAATAGATTATGGAGCTGGGGCCAGTTGGCCTAGGATTTAAAAAACAAAACTTTATACATCCTGAAAATGAGGACATTAGAGTGAACTAAGGAAACTACTTCAGAGTCATCCAAATCATCCATATCCTTGGGTCCTCAGCATCTCTCCCTAGTTCTGAGTGGGAATTGCAAGATTGCAGCCCACCTGTGGGGATTGGACAAACACTAGCATTAGCTATGCTGTACACACAGCAAATGAGGGGACTTCTTACTTTCATACTAACGTGCACCAGAATCCTCTCTGCAGTCTACCCATTCCTAAGAAATGCACCTCCTTGGAGGCACTATTCACCATCATCTCCAGCTTGATGATTCTCCAGATCCATGAAAACCACACATAGTGAAACCAGAACCTCCTACACGAGTGTTAAACTGATGACCTACAACTTGTTATGTATCATGCAGTCCTGAACACGCTAGTTGCACTGACATTTTCAAGAATCTCTTTTCACACTTATTCCTACACCTGGAGTCATTGAGATTATCAGGTTCTGTGAAGCATCTGGACTTTAATGGAAAACTAGGAGTTAGTTCCCCTGTGCTAAAGCAAGCCAGAAGCACTTACTGCACCAACAGCTTTCCCAAAGCTTGCCTTTGCAGCCCCATCGCACGCGTAATAATTGCCGCAAGAACTAACTGGAGGACTGCCTGACAGCAAGCTCAGTGAGGCATTTAGGAAAAAGCTACCTAAAAGTCGAAAAACATCTTAAATCCGGAATAGTGTCACACCCTTGGGTTTTTTGAGGATTAGAGGCGATACTGCTGGAACCGAAGTGTGGAAAGTTACAGCGAACTATGAAGGCCAATTCATCAGTGAGCCCATTAGCCCAAGATTCTTTCGAGTTCCTCGGATTGCGCAGTATTAAGTCATTGGTAGTCTCTGCTAGTGCAGGTCAGCGGACGGAGAAATTGGATAGACTGGAGGGATCTGAAGGTGAAGTGCAGACATGGATGGAGACACTGTCAAGTTTAGAGAGACTGGTTTGGAGACTGATTTGATGGGAATGTGGAGGTTGGAGAAGTCTTTTCTAGACTAGGAAAACATCTGTGGGTCATCTCAGCGAGGAAAACGCCCAAGGGGTTTAGACAGCAGACCAAGAGCGTGGATCAACCTTCCTACTCTCCAGCCCGCCCGGCTCCTGCGGCGCCCCAGGAAGACTTGGGGCAGGTTCTTCCAGCAGCAGCTACCGGAAATGACGCACTTCTCGCGAGAAGAGAGGCGCGCGAGCCTCGGCGGCCCGGAACCGGCCTTGGAACAACGGCGGAGCTTGAGGCCGCTTGCCCTCCCGCCCCATGGAGCGGCCCCCGGGGCTGCGGCCGGGCGCGGGCGGGCCCTGGGAGATGCGGGAGAGGCTGGGCACTGGCGGCTTCGGGAACGTCTGTCTGTACCAGCATCGGGTGAGGCAGGGCGCGAGAGGGAGCGGCGATGGGTTTGTCGGAGCGTCTGTGGAATACAGGGCTGTCAGCGTGTGAGAGATTGTTGGTGAGACTTTGGTTTGTATTTGTGGGACAGTGAGCTCGTGTGTGTCTGTGTGTGTGAGAGAGAAAGAGAGAGAGAGAGAGAGAGAGAGACAGACAGACAGACTGTGCCTGTGAGCTTAGTGTCTGAGTCCAAGATTGTGTTTCAGGTCCCGGCTCAGTGTGATGAGATAGAGCTGTTTGGGGTAACTTTAGTATGAGTGCCCAGGTACTTAGTGAGTGTGACAGTATGTGTGTATGTAACTGTCTCTTTGTGAATGTATTGTAGTCAGGATGTGTGAGGTAGATGCACGTCAGTGTGTGTATGTGTGGGCACAAATGGGCGAGAAAATAGGACTGAAGCGGGGGTCTGTGGGAGTGTATGTGCGCCTGCTTGGAGACTGTGATATCAGTGTGGACTGGAGTAGAAGACAAGGTTTCATGTTGAGCCCAGAGGTAAGCCTTTGGAAGCATGGGTAGGTTTTAGAGTTAGGGATACATTCCAGGTAGGGTGCAGAATGAGAGTAAGGTGGTACCAATCATCGCTTCAAAGAGGAGATGGAATAGGGGCTGGGAAGCTCTAGTGGGTAGAAGACAACCAATATCACTCTAGAATTTTGCTTTGATTTAATTGAAAATGTTTAACCTTTATAGCAACAGTTAATAATCATGTTTGGGTCAAGTGCCTTTTGATATGCCAATAACAACTATGAACCTTTTCCCAGAAAAATGCACATTATGGGAGGGGTAGTGTTTTCCTGAAGGACACTTTGGGTACATAGATTCTGGCCTAATAATCCCTGAGTATAGCTTTTGTTTTGTTGCCCATAAAATAGGTATAGTAATGTATATGCATTATGGGTTTGTTTGAGAGTTAAATAATATGACAGTGTATGTAAAGTTAAGTGTAGTACCTGGCCCATGAGAATTCTCAGATGTTAGCTCTTCCTGCTGCTGTGTTGTCACTGTTATCATAATCCTTATCATCATTAATTTGCCTTAAAAAAGAAAATGTTAAGATAAAAGTGGTGGCTTGGTGCCTGTAGCTCAAGTGGCTAAGGTGCCAGCCACATACACCAGAGCTGGCCGGCTCGATTCCAGCCTTGGCCTGCCAAAACAACAATGACAACTACAACCAAAAAAGAGCTGGGCGCCTGTAGTCCCAGCTACTTGGGAGGCTCAGGCAAGAGAATCGCTTAAGCCCAGGAGTTGGAGGTTGCTGTGAGCTGTGATGCCACAGCATTCTACCCAAGGCGACAGCTTGCGGCTATGTCTCAAAAAAGAAAAAACATAGGTGACAATATAAGCAGTTAAGACTTGGCTTGGCGCCTGTGGCTCAAGTGGCTAAGGCGCCAGCCACGTACACCCAAGGTGGCGGGTTCGAATCCAGCCCGGGCCCGCCAAACAACAATGATGGTTGCAACCAAAAAAATAGCTGGGCGTTGTGGTGGGT